AAGCCAGGCCTCAATGAGGCCATCGGGCGAGCAGGTGGTGCTGTCAGAGCGCACCACGGTGCACAGCCTCTCATTAGACTGCAGCTCGCTCAACATCCCATCTCAGGAAAAAAGCAAAGTCAGGAGAAAAGTGCTGAGTGTGATGAAACCGGCTGAGCTGCTGGAGCCAGAGTTTTTATTTCATGCAAAACTGACTCCAGCAGAGTAATAAATGTTTAATTCTCTAAAAATCTTCATTAAATTAAAGTTTATTTTAGACATGTAGGTCCACTACTTTAGTAATTACTTGTTTCTGCTTAAACCAGAAGGATTTAGTGAAGGGAATTTAATTAAATTTTTAGAAACTCATTAAAGCACTCGCTTTAAATGTCAATGTGCAGACAAAATATTTGCCATTTTTAATGTTAGTCACACGTTTGATTAATCTTTCAGGATTAAAGCACGTTAAAACATTAATTCTCAATTTAAAGTAATCGCATAAACTCATTTCTTAAAGCTTTTAGAAGTTCTGACCCAAAGTAAAGATGGAAATAAAAGTTGTGGCAGTAAGGAATGTTTTATTTAGCTGCTCTCTCTTTGTTTTTGTGCAAGAAATCATAAAGAAACAAATTATTTTCATTTGTTTTCCCACAAAATTTGACTCAGTCAGGCCTGAAAAATGAATGGCACAACAAAAGGCACTTTATTTTATTTTAATAAGTGTTTTGTTTATCCTAATAGTAATAAATCAACAGTTTACTGCTTCTTGTTTGAACGAACGTTACAAGCTTTAGTGAGTTAAGACAAAAATTCAGCTATAAACTAATAAATAAAGTTTATTTTCTGACATGCTATAGATAAATGCTTGGTCTAATCTGCTAATTTGTTAATGGATAATCTAACAATGAATTAAGACTTTTTTCTTTTTTTTAACTACTGATTCATATGAATCCACCTTTCTGCTTTTTATTTCCCTGGAGAGAAAAATGTATTAAAACAAACCATAAAGGCTCAAAATTTAACTTAAGAAGTTCATTCATTCAACCTTTATTTCTACAGGTTAATCCCATTGAGCCTCGAGGACTCATTTACAAGAGAGACCTGATTTCAACAAAGAATGATGACAACAATGGACAACAGCGACAACAATAGACAGTTATAAAAAGTCATAGTCCAGTTTGTTTGTTTTTTACTAATAGGATGGCTAAAAGGAAAAGGTAACAAAAAAACAGCTAGATTATAAGGTGAATGTAGAAAACTAAAAACAGGAACATGTCAGCATTGGTCCCTGCCAGGAGTCCAACAGATTCTTAAAGTCACTTAGAGAGGTCAAGGTCTTCAAATGTTTTTGTAAGATGTTCCAGGAGCGTAGTAGGAGAAGGTCCTTTTGCCTAGTTCAGTTCTCATTGAGGGAACACTGCAGGTAATGATGTCCTGAGAGCGCACGCTGTAGCTGCACTCACGCAGAGACATGTAGGAGGAGATGTATGAAGGCAGCAGACCAAGAAGTGATTTAAAGATGAAAATGTACCAGTGAGAGAGTCTGCGTGAAGTTAATGATGTCCAGTTAACCAGTGAACACAGGGTGCAGTGGTGGGTACGATAATCACAGCCAGTTATGAATCTTAGTGCACCATGATAGACAGCATCCAACATCTGCAGGGTGCTTGTAGGAGCGTTCATGTAAATAATGTCACCGTAATCAATTGAGGGAAGGAAAGTCACAGATACAAGGCGTTTTCTAGCATTCAGGGTTAGACAGGATCTGTTTCTGAAAAAGAAACCCAGTTTAACTTTCAGTTTCTTTACCAAGTTTTCCACATGGAGCTTAAAAGAGAGATGTGAGTCGACCAAGATACCCAAATATTTATTTATTTAGGAATTGACAAACTCAATGGGGGCACCATTTGAGGATAAAATCGGAGGAAGAACTGCTGGGACCAACTTCCTATTTGAAAAAAGCATCCCTTTGGTTTTGTCGGCATTTAGGACAAGTTTGAGGCGGAACAAGTCTGTCTGGATGTTGTTGAATGCAGATTTCAAAAGCTGGAAAGCCTTAGCAACAGTTGTAGCTCAACAATAAACAACTGTGTCATCAGCATAGAAATGTATGGATGCATTAGGGATATTTTTACCTAGATTACGTATGTAGATTGTAAAGAGGGTTGGTCCTAAGACTGAGCCTTGTGGTACACCATAGTTGACTGTTAAATAACTGGAAAAAGTACCATTATGTTGAACACATTGCCTCCAGTCTGAGAGATAGTTAGAGAACCAACCAATGGTGTGATCTGAGAAACAAATTTGAGAGTTTATGACACAAGATGTTCTGATCCACAGTGTCAAAAGCTTCAGACAGGAACCTTCAGTGAAGCAGTGGTTGTGCTGTGTTGTTTCCTGAAACCAGATTGATGTGGAGGTAAGATGTTAAGTGAGTCCAGGTAATTTTTGATTTGAGAGTTTATCAGTTTTTCTAGAACCTTGGCTAAAATGCAGAGTTTAGAGATTGGTCGATAGTTGTTCAGTGAGGTGGGGTCACCTCCCTTCAGCAAAGGAAGAACAAAGGCTGTTTTCCAAGTGTCTGGGATGGAGTTTTGTCTTATGGAGAGATTGAAGATGTGGGTCACAGGGACTGTGATGATATGAGCAGCCAGCCTTAAGAAATAAGGTGGAAGTTCATCTGGACCTGCAAATTTTTTAGGATCAAGATCTTTTAACAGTTTATTAACCTCAATAACTGAGAATGGAGAAAAAGAAAAGGTGTGATTAACTGAGGATTGACTTGTAGGAGGGATTTGATTTGTAGAAGTTTGGTTATTAAGTGAAGTGGCTGATTTTCCATTAGTAACTGTGTCAAATAAAGAACTGGAAGCAACAAAATGTTTGTTGAAACAGTTCAGGATCTCGTGCTTATTTGACACAGAAACAGATTTAATGAGAAGTTGTGATGGGAGGTCAGAGGATTGTGGGGTGCCTGAGAGATTTGATGGTTTGTCAGAATCTGTTGGGGTCATTTAGATTTTTGGAGGTCTGAGATAAGAAATAGTTGTGTTTTGCTGCTTTGATGGCAGTTGTACATTTATTCCTCATAAGACTAATAATAATAACTAAGAAATACTTTGAATGAAATCCCACTTTATGCATGTTTTACTAAATTACAAGTCAGAAATGGGATTATTTCTTTAAAATGTCTCCTTAAAGTTAATTAAATACAAGAAAAAACTGAAAAACTCAGATTTATTTGAGGTGAACGCTGGAAACACAAACAAGTCAGTGAAGAAGCTACAGTCTTTATTAGTTGAAACAACAGATATACAGTTGCTGTATTGTCTTCTTTCGTGCTACATCGTGGTTTTTTAGCGCCACACACCACCGTCGGCTTAGATAGTCGACTGACGGAAACAAAAGCAAACAGTTCAAACATATCAAAATCAGTTTTTACATCTTTTGTAGCAACCAACTCTTTGCATTGGTGTGCCGTAGTGCAAACCGTGTTTGTATCTCAACATTCGTGCGCCTCGACAGGCCGCTGCGTTCTTTGTGCCTTCGGTTCGAGTCCTTCAGTCCAACGAGGGGAGCTTAAATAAATTCAAGTGTTTTCGGGCTGTGTTTGTGTTTTGGGCATTAAAGGTACTCATCATCACAAATCTGAAACCAAACTTACAAACAGTTATCCTGAACAAAACGGGGACATTGGATGGAGTTTGTTGTGGTTGTTTTACAGATTTATTGGCACGTCTTTCTGAAATGCGGGTATGCACTCGATGTAAACAAAGCTCCGGACGTGCAGCCCGCGCGGCTCGTTGTAGCTTTGACCAAAATTAACACAAAGTTTTGCGCTTATAATCCCAACATGAACGCTGGTTTTTAATACAATTGCACAATTAGTTCAACTTCTTGGCATTTTTTTTTATTAAATCCATCAAAAAAATAAACGTTTTTAACAAATGTGACATTACAAGTCATGAAAATGAGGCATTCTGGACAAAACTGGGAGATTTTTCAGATTCTACCGTGGATAAAATGTGCCTTTATTAGAGGATTTTCAGTTCTTATCTAAAAAAGTGGAATAATTTGTTGAGGTGAAAATATATGTTTTATAAGTGAGATAGAAGATTAAAGAGAAAGATTTGCACCAGTCAGTTTTCACATTTCATTAACTGGTGTTGATTTTCCTCTCTTCGTTAGCGTTTTCTCTGTAAAAACACATGAAAAAGGTGTAAAATTGCCAAAAAATGTCAGCAAATCTTTAATCTTGTTATGTATTAAACTTGTATCTCTGTATGAGGTTTTCATATCAAACCTAGTGAGTTGTGATAAACTTTGTTTCAACCTTCGAGCACGTTTTGTGGCTCTGAACTTTTATTTTGATAGGAAAACGAACAGTAAGTTGTAAAAGCTGTAATGAAATCAAACTATCGTATGTTAACCCTCGATAAGAGCAGAACGTTGGGGGCTTTAGCTCGTGATTGTTGCGATGAGAACCTTTAAAGGAAGGTTGGAGCGCGGTTCTTCACCGTGGAAGAACTTTAGGACGTTAGTCACTCGTTCTGAGCGAAACGCGTATTCGATGGACGTTATTGGATCGGTTCTGCCGTGGTGGACCTCACTCCTGAGAGTCGGATCAACGTCTTCTTTCTTTCTGAGTTCCGGTTCCTCTCTGGAAACAAACTCGCAGGATGATTATGAAACGTAGCAAAGCGGCGTGTTAGTTTGTAGCTCGGCAGCGTGTTGCTTTAAATGGAAAGACAAAGTTAGGAAGGAGACAGTTTAAAACATTTTTCAGTCTATAGTCGCTCTGAAGTCCATCGTGAGTGTTTCGTGTTCCTGCGCCCATCAGTCTGAAGGAAGATGGTGGAGCCACAGGAAGCCAAAGTGCCACCCTGCATGAAGATCGTGCTTCTATTGCACCGTGGTCTGCAGGAAAGCACTGGAACTGGTGGATCGGTTGGGTCAGGTAGTCTTTTGCGGGGCTGGGGACATGGTCTTCGTCCTTCCCGCTCTCTCTTTGGGGTCTCGACTCAAGCGCATCCACAGCGGTCCACCACCATGGAGGGGATCTTGCTGTAGATGATCTGCGCATTCTGGTCAAAGTAGAGTATGTTGATGGAGGACATCTTGGTGGAAGTGCAGCAGGGGCCTATGGTCCCTTTGGGTTTGGCTTTGTTCACCAGGTGGGTGTGGGGGTACATCTGCAGGTGCATGTCCTCGCACTCCCCGGAGCAGTAGTTGGCCTTGTAGCGTTTCGGGGCAATAACCCAGCCAAAGCCCAAGTCCTCGAAGTCCACCGTGAGCGGGTAGCGGCAGCACCGGGTCTCCGGAGAGTTCTCGTCACAGTCCAGACCCGGGTCTCTCCGGACTCTCTTGGGGCCCTGGGAGAGCTTTACCTCCATGAACGGTTGCTGAAAGGACAGAAGACATGTGAACGCTTGGAGATCACCTGTTAGTGTTCTTTTTTTTTTAACATTTCAAGTTGTTTTTGCGTCTTAATGATTTATTTGAACCGTTTCTTCTTCAGGGATTCTACAAAAAAAAAAAAACACTTCAAGGTTTTTTTTTTTTAAACACATTTGAGTTTATTGTAGATTTTCTCTGAGCCACACATGCTCAAATATATCCATACACCTCCTTTGATACTTGTTTTTCAGCGAATATCACCTGGACCTGAGGCTTTTTATCTCCATCAGCAAGGTTCTCTGCAAATGTTCAGTCATGTCGAGGCATCAGGCCGATCGTTCCAGAAGTGTAATGTCAACCTGAACGATCCAATCAGAATCCAGTTTTGTCCTGTTGGTCCCAACTGCGTCCAGGTTTCAACCGCCCAGCTGCTGACTTGAGGTGAAGTTGAAGAACTTTGAGGTAGTCCTCCTCGCCTTGTTGCACAGCATGATGCTCCCACCACCATGCCTGACAGCTGGTTCAGTGTTCTCAGGTCTGAAAGACTCAACTCCTCCAAACGTCCTCGTCTTTGTGTTCATACAGCTCAGTCTTTGTCTCATCTAACCTGTCTCCAGAAGACATATGTCATGTCCATGTGGACAGCTGCAGATTTTAGTCCAGCTTGAAGGTTCGGAAGCTTCTTTTTTGGGTCCTCTCGGTCTGTGGACTGGGACACTGGTGGACTGGGACACTGGTGGACAAAGACACCAGTGTTCCAGCAGGTTCCAGTTTGTGGCAGTCTTCAGTCTTGGTGGTTCCATCTGAGGAGGACAGTTTGGGTCTTCCAGACTTTGACACATTATTAACTTTAATTAATGGACAGATATTTAAACTTCTTAGAATGTGAAGTTTTGTCCATCTTGTTTAAATCTAAAGTTCTCCTCAGATCTTCACGGAGTGCCTTGGACTTTAATGAGTACTGTCAAACAAATCCTGTTTTATTCTGCCAAAGAGAGACCAGCTGCAGTCAGTCATGATCACTAACAGCAAATACTTGGACTTGTTGAGTCTAAAGACCTTGAGAACCTTCGGTATGATTTTCAAAAGGTTTAGGTAAATGTATGGATATATTTGACCCTGTGTGGTTGATGAAAAAATAAAACGACAATAAACTTGTTTCCTTTGATAATTCCACCCTTAAAAAGTTTTAAATAAATCAATAAAAGCCATGAATGGCATCAAAATATTCACAGAAACATTCCAACGCTTTGTTCTTCAGAGAAATCAAATCATCTGATGGTCGGTTTGCTGATGGCAACATGCGCACGCGCCTCTGCGCACGCAATTACTCTGAAATTCGCACACAACACTCTGAGGAATGTGGGCAAACTTTTATGTAATCAGGTAAGGAGATTTGGGCTAAATGTTGGCAGGTGTCCTTGTTGATGAACACCTCCCAAAGCTTTTCAGCTCGTGACCCCTCCATCCTGCAGCTCCACCACCCGCGGATTCTGCAAAGCCTCCAACTTTTGCAAGTTGTTGGTGCTGCAGCTTCTGCGCTGAAATGTTGCTAAAATGTGACTCACCAGACCCTCCTCTCCGGGCTCGGCGGAGGTCACGGCCAAATCGTTCCCCCTCGAGTCGAAAGCCTTGATCTCGATGCCCCAGTTGGTCTCGGGCTGCCGCAGCCACACGGCCACAACCTGCTTCACGTCTATTCTCCTCCAGGAGCTCACCCCGGCAGTCACGTCGATCTTCAGGGACCGGATCCGTATGTGCCTAGTCCCGTCCGCGACCGGACTCAGGCGGGAGATCTGCAGGAACACGGTGGTCGCCTCGTCCGCGGGGCGCAGCTGGAACCAGAGCTGCGCGCCGACGATCCGGTTGGCTTGCACCTTGTTACTGAAAGAGAAGAAGCAGCACTTCGGCTGCCCGTCCAGCTGGACCGAGGACTTTGCTGCAGAGACACGGAGCACAGAGGGCAAGATTATTTTAGAAGTCCGCTGTTTGAATAAATACAAAGTTCAAGTTTCCGACCTTTACACTGTTTTTAGATTTATATATTCATTAAAAAATAAAGCCCTATTTATGAGGCCAAATTAAAACCCATTTATTTGCACATTTTGTACATAAAACCACATTTTACGCACAGAGCGCGCTAATTAAAATATTTTTTCTGCACATGCTGTGCAGAAAAATACATCTTATGTGCAAACTAAAACGTATCCTTGTGCATTTTATGCATATTACCACATTTTACGCACAGAATGCGCAAAGAAACAGGCTTCAGTTAGTGCAAATGAAGGTTGTGGTTTGTGCTTTCTGTGCGTAAAACCACATTTTACGCACAGAAAGCACAAAGACAAAAATGTACTTCAATCCAAAAACAGTCTCACGTTCAGTGGCCATTATCATGACGGTCTCGGTGGTCGCGTGCTCGTCATCCTCCTCCAGAACCACGTCCCCGTTGTCGTCCCCCAGCACATCGTACTGGTCCAGCAGCTGCTGCAGAGGCGGCGCTTTGGGCAGCAGCTGCTTCACCACCTCCCGGCTGATGTTCGGAGCCTCCCTCATGCGCAGCTTGCTCAGAATCTGGGACTTGATGGCGTTCAGCCGCATGGTTTTGATCTGCTGCCGGACCTCGCATGTGGCGCACTGCTCCGTGTCCGCGGGGCTCGTGGCGCAGGGCTGCTGGTGCGTCTCGTGCTCGCTCAGAACAGCTGGAGCCAAAGCGGTGAGCAGGCAGAGGCAGAGCGCAGTCTGAGCCACGGGCATCGTCTCACAGCTCGGTTCGGGTTTTAGGAGAAGAGTAAACGTCCTCTGACGAGCCTCGGAACAGTCTGTTGGATCTACGAGCCTCAGTGATCCGCGTCATGCCTCATCAGCGCGCGTACGTTTTTATACTCCAGCTTTAACCTGGGCGCGTGGCGTCAGAGAGCAGGATTGGCTGAAAGGAACGAGGAGTTTTGACTGCTGCGCACGGGCAGAAAGAAGCACGTTTGTTTGTTTGTTGTGTCAGTGCTTGAGTGAACCTGCTTATTTTGCTTCTAACAAATCTTCTGCACTGTTCTTTTAGCTGTTCTGATGTACAAATCTTTAGCTCATTCATCTGATGAAAGCTGTGACTTTTGTTTTCTTTAATTAATCTTCAATGTAATTTAAAAACGATATTTTTAAACTTTCATCGAATTAATAAAGATAACGTTTGTGCTAACCTTACCCTTTAGCTACTGTTTTGCTACTTTTATTTTAAATATGGTTTGTCTTACCATTTTTTAAAGCTTTTACTGTACTACTCGTAGCTTTTAGCTGCTGTTCTTGTTCATTTTAGCTTTAGGCTAATCTGCTATTAAATTCAAATTTACCTGCAGTTTTTCTCAACTTGGCTTTTAGCTACTGTTTTACTAATCTAAGCTTTTATCTTTTTTGTGCTACGTTTAGGTTTTAGCTGTTTTGCTATTTTTAAATTGTAGCTATGGTTTTGATAAACTTAGCTTTTAACTACTGCTGTGCTAATCTTAGCTTTTAGCTACTGTTATATTTTATTTTAGCTTTAAGCTACTGTTTTGCTACTTTTAAATCCTAGCTCCAGCTTTGTTTAACCTAGCTTTTAGCTATTTTCAGCCTTTAGTTTTGCTACTTTCGAATTTTAGCTTTGGCTTTGCTTAACTTAGCTTTTAGCTACTGTTAAGCTAACCTTAGCTTTTAGTTACTGTTATGCTAATCTTAGCCTTTAGCTACTGTTTAAATAATTTTACATTTAAGCTACTGTTTTGCTAAGTTTCCTTTGAGCTTCAACTTTTCCTAATTTAGCTTTAAGCTATTTTGTGCTAGTTTTAGCTACTGTTTTGCTACTTATATTGTAGTTATGGTTTTGTTACATTTATCTTTTAGCTTTATGTGCTCATGTTAGCTTTTAAGTAGGATACTGTTTTTGTTATTTTAGCTTTTAGCTATTTTGCTTACTTAACTTAGCTTTTAGCTACTGCTGTGCTTTGTTTTATTTTCTGTTCTACTAGTTTTACCTCACAAATTGACATAATAGTTTCATCTTATTTAACAAACTTCAGCTGTCAGTGTTCGGCTGAATATGAGCAGAACACTTAAATGTTTTTGGTAATTTGAATCTGGTGAACTTCAGATGTTCGATCAGTTCAAAACATTTCGAATCAAAGAAACTTGAAAAATAAATAATCTGATTAATCTCAAATCAACAGGGTAAATTATAAACTTTCTTAGCTTTTTGTCAAACACGATTTAAGGTTCAATGTGACTTTACTGTCATTTGCATCACATGTGGTACATGAGGTGGAACAAAATTGTGTGCTCAAGGTCCCAGTTACTCCCAAAAATAGCAAAAAAATATAAAAAAGAAACAGTTTACAAGCATCTAAGATATCAAGGTCAAGGTCAAAGTGTCTTTATTGTCATTCACACCACATGTGGTACATGTGGTGGAACGAAACTATGTACACAGGGTCCCAGTTACTTCCAACAAAAATACAAATTGTAAAGAAAAACAGTATTAAGATCTAAGATATGAACTAAGAAATACACTAAACTAAGAATACGCTAAGCGCAAATAGTACAAAACAATGCGCCAAACAACAGCAGCACAAACATGAGTCCGTGTCAGCAGATGAGGACGAATGAACACAGCAGCATGACATAAATCAGCAGCATGAGATCAGCAACATGGATAGTCAGCAGCACATATCAACAACCAAGTGGCATTACAGTGATTTTTTCACAGTGATTATCCTGAGGGATTCGTGAACAGCCTCAGGGAGGAAGCTGTTCCTCAGCCTAGTGGTTCGCTCCTCAACCTCCTTCCTGAGGGGAGCGGGGCAAAAAGTGTGTGTGCTGGGTGAGTGGGGTCCTTCATGATGCAGGCGGTTCTCTTCCTGTATCTGGAGGTGTAGATGTCTGTGATGGTGGGAGACTGACTCCAACAGACTTCTGTGCAGCCTTCACCACTCTCTGCAAAGCTTTTCTTTCTGCAGCTGTGCAGCCTCCATGCCACACGTTTATGCTGGAACACAGGATGCTCTCCACTGCACACCTGTAGAAGGAGGTGAGGACTGAGCTTCCCAGACCAGCTCGTCTCAGCCGTCTGAGGAAGTAGAGTCTCTGATGAGCTTTCTTGATCAG